AAAAAAAAAAAAAAAAGGACCAGTCGGCCCAGCCTGCCCTCTCGCAGCTGGCTCAGGACCATAGTGAGGCAACTTTCCCTGCGCCGTCTCTTAGCTAAGAAACCTACCAGAACGTTCCCAGAGCCTGTGTGTGGCATTTCAGCCACTGTCACTGGATTTCCCCTATGCTTTTCCTGATCCCAGGAGTTTTAAACTTTGATCTTACTCCCTTCCTAGAATAATGGGCTTCCTGTTGGTTGATTTAAGTCTCCTTAAGCTTCCAAAGCTCTTCGCTGTTGTTTCAGGGAGGTCCTCGGCGGTCACCTTTGCACACACGTGCACACACGCACACCACCTGCCTCCCTGCTGAAGTGCTCCGTGCACAGGGCCGGTCAAATGGTATTTACTGTCCACGGGCTTGCATGTGGGCTCCTTCCGGGCAGACCGTGGCTCTGCTCCATTCGCTGTGACCAGCTGGGCCCGGTCATTCTCCACGAAGGTCAGAGTGGGGATGGTTCACAGGGGGGAGCAGGGAGGCGAGGGCAGCCGGGGGCCACGCAGGAGGCTGCCCGTGAGGTGCGCAGCGGAGGGTGACTTCATGCCCACAGGGCAGCATGTGCAGGGGGCTGGGCGGGGGACTCGGGCTTGGCAACCTCTCTGTGCAGCTGCCACGGACACGGACCCAGCGCAGTGCTCAGGGCGGGGCGAGAGCGGCCTGCCAGCGGGGAGGTGCGTCCAGCAATGCTGACACTCTGTTTCCAGCCACCGGGGCACTGTGCCCAGTCCCTCCCCGCTCTCCCTGGCACCCGTGCTCTTGAACTCTGCCCCGGTGTCGGCCACCGTCAGAGGGCATTCTGGGAGTCTGTCGGAGGGCAGCGCGGGCGGTGTCCTCACCCACGGCGAAGGGCTTTCGGGGCCCTGGGGACATCATGACCATGGCAGACACCCAGGGACGGCAGGAGAGCCGAGAAAAGCCCTACCAACGTGGACGCCTCTCCTTCCCGGGACGCAGCAAGGTGTCCCCACCAGAATCCAGAGTAACGCCCCACCCACCACCGCACATCTGCCCAGAGCAGACGGTTCCCGCGTCTCCACATCACCGCATCACAGCCAGGCCCCGCCTGCCGGGTGCAGAATGAAGCAGACGGGTGACAGGTGACAGAGGAGAGGTGAGGGAGAGCCAGGTGCGTGCCCTGCTGACTCTCCCCTGCGCTATGAAGTCCTGTCTGCCAGGGCCTCCCAGTGTCCCATGTCCTTGAACTGCGACCCCATGGTGGCTGCGCGAATGTTCACTCTACTCAAGCCGCCTCCGCCCCTCCCGCCTGCACATGCCCAGGGCCTTGCCTTGATCTATGACCCGCAGGAGCTCTGGGTCTCGTGTGGGTCCCGAGACACTCCCCTGGCCCTCACTGGTGTCCCTCAGGCGGAAAGCTTGTCCTCACTTTGGAAAGTGCTGCCTGCAGACCTGACAGTGCCAGGCTCTCGCTGGGGTCAGGGAAGGTGCAGGGCCCAGCTGGCTCCCCTGTAAACAGAGTTCATGACCCAGGCCGGCTCCCCCGGTAAACAGAGGTCGTGGCACATAGGTTTTTGGTCCCCATGCTGACCTCTGCCCTTGCTAACACAGGGCTTCCTGACTGTGCTTCCATCTCATCAAACACAGATAAGGGCGGTGGGGCCCCGCCCTGATGTCACAGCCCCTCACAGGCGCTGAAGCAGTGTTTAATCTGCTAATGGAGTTTATTTGCCTGGGAAGTTTACCCGGGAGGTGTTTTCAGGCAAAAAGGCGTTTTGGACGTGAACTGACAAGGGCTCTCAGCAAAGTACTTTCCAGGCGTGTGGGCTCCTGAACCCCCCCATGGGAAAGCAAGCACCCCACTATCTCGAGAGCACCCGAGTTGCCGCCGGGACCACGTGATCTGGGAAACTGCTGCTTTGCTTTCAGATTCCTGGACAACTGGTTTCTGAAGACGGCGAGTGAACTACTGTAACATGGAACAAACTGGAAAATCTGGACTGGAATCTGCGCGCGCGCGCGCGCGTGTGTGTGTGTGTGTGTGTGTGTGGAGGGGGAGAGGGGGAGGGAGGAAGGGAGGGAGGGTCTACTGTAGCTGTGAGAAAGTCAGCAGCAGGCTTAGAGGGTGATGGATGGAGCTCTGGTGCTAATCATCAGGGCGTTACACCCATTCCGATGAGTCACCTGGGTGTGGACGCCCAAGTCTGGCTGTGGTTCTAGTGAACTGTCTTTCCCCTTTAACTTGCACACCCCACTTTCCCCTGAAGTGGCCACCAAGGACCTGTCACCCCCGTGCCAAGCTCAGGTGAGGGCAGTGGATGGATCGGATTCCAGAGCCGGCATCCCCAGGTGTCTCAGACCCTCCTGTGCTGGAGCCGGGCTCTCCTTCCCTGAACTAGGCCATTTCCACAGCTGCAGCACTCAGGGTGGGGGATGCACCCCACTGAACCCACAAACCCGAAGGGCTCCCGTCTTGCTGATGTTTGTGCCAGCCGGGCAGCATCGCCGAGGGAATCCTCCCCACGCTTCTCCCGCCCCTGGAGGCACCTCACCTCTTCTGAAGGTGGACACCTCCGCACCATGGGGGGGCTGGGGGAGCCATAGCAGTCGGGACAACCAGGTGGGCAACACCACACGCGGTGTAGGGACAGCTCGGTGGGCTCGGCCTCTAGGCCTGGGTTTCATTGAAGCTCAGCTCCAGCATCTCCCAGGAGTGACCCTGGGGGAGCTTCTCAGCCTGCCCGGGCTGTGGGGTCCCATCTGTTAGATGGTAACAGTGCTCTGATGGGGATGAAGCGGGGTCACGCCCGCCCGGTGTCTAGGTCAGTGCATAGTGATTAAACACCACCTACGATCAGAGTTACTCCCCAGACCCCCACCCCCCCAGGCAGAGCCTCTTCCAGGACACTTGCCATCCGGGGGGCAGGTTCTCCCGTCAGCTCACTGACCAGGGTGGTTGTCGGTTAACCTGCCACCTGGAGAGGAGCCGCCACAGCACCCAAGACATCAGGCAACATCCCATCTGATCACCCAAAACACCCAAGCAAGTCACTCAAAACACCTCCGAACTAAAGGACGTATATGCATACGCCTAACCCGTGGACACGAACAACAGCGTGGAGAAGGCCTGGGGGGCGGGAGCAGGGTGGAGGGAGGCAATGGGGGAAAGATGGGGGGGCACCTGTAATACTCACAACAATAAGGGTTTAAAAAATAAAAATAATAAATTCATCACATTATTTAAAAAACAACAATAAAAACCACAGCACAGGGTCCCCAGGAAGGCCAGGCAGGGTCCAAACGAGAAAACCAATCAGCTGAACTAGGCCAGGCGATTGTTTTCTAAAGACTCCGCCCTGAGACCAGGTCTTATTTAAGGCAAAAAAACAAAATACAGACAGACAGAAACAAAACACCCATGATCAGGAAGAGGGGCTGAGAGCAGAGGTGGAAGTGGGGCTAAAGCCCCAGCCCTAGTGACTTGGCCACGCGCTCCTCTCTCTGAGCCTGTTTCCTCCTTTAAAATGGGGATGTATCGCCTGCCTGCTGCTTCCGAAGGTCACTGGGGATGACACACAAAGGCCCAGGCTCCACTGCCTCGTCCACGACGGGGGCTCAGCGGACGGCCGAGGTTCCCCGCCTTCCGCGGACCTGCCCTGCGCCCGGGCCCTGCTCACCTTGATCATTTCTGCCACGTAGCTCTCGGGCCCGGTGTACTCCGTGGAGTCCTTGACCTTGACCAGCACGATGAAACACAGGTAGTGCCACATGTTGTGCTCTTCCTTGATGTGCTCCTCAAAGGTGACAGTCTTGTTGTCGAACTTGTCTCTTTCCAAGCCTGGAAAGAGCCAGAGGGGGGCCCAGGTGAGCAGCCCTGGGCGGAACCCTCTCCGCGCCCGCCTTCAGAGTGGGCGCCGGGGCCCTGCACCTCACGGCGGAGCACCGGCCCAGGCGGGCCACGGAGCCGGAGTTCTCGCGGCCGGGGAAGGAACATGAGTATGTGAGGGGAGGGGGCAGAATAAATGCTGCGATGCTGACCCGGAAGGAGAAGTACCAGTGTGAGCCCCCCGCTTTTCATACAGGTAAAGAAACGGATACAGAGATGTGTGCGGATACATATATGTGTGTATGTGCATACATGTATATTCACACACACATATTCATATAAGCTGGCAGGAATGAGCACACCTACCCCCAGATCTTGGCTTCTAAAAGCCATTCTCTACCAAAAAGAACCAGGGTTCCTTGGTTCTCCCGTCTGACAGCAGGCTGGGTCCGGGAAGGCCCAGGCGAGCTGCAGCCTGGATTATCTCGTGGTGTTAAAAAAAAACAAACAAAAAAAAAACACTAAGGAAGTCCATTAAGAATGACGGTGACATGACAAACAGCACCAGCTCGCAGGGACTCTCAGTGGGCAAATCCGTGGCCATTTAAGCATCAAGATAAATGACTAAGAAATTATAATCCGCTAAACGGAATGAAAACCTATGAACCCACCATGTCACAAATACAAACATGCAAATATACATGTGTAGGGAGACGAGAAAGCTATACTTTAAAACAAAAAGCCAAGAAACGCACGAGAGTAATAAAATAAGAAACCGTCCTTCGGCAGCCTCCTAACAGCCTTCGGACAGGGATCAACAGTGGGCTTCAGCGAGCAAACGGATTTTACAAAGTAGTTACATTGTTTCAACATTGTATCCAAGCACCTCCCCACACAATGGCTCCTCCTTGCAGAGAGAGAGTAACTTCATGGTGGGGTAGAAGCCTCGTTACCCCCAACCAAGGGAGCAGAGCTACCGTGACCAGGGCCGGGTGCACCGGCCTCCTGGGCCCCCCGAGACGCACTCATTTCAGGTCCTGCGGGATCCCACGTCTGCTCCCCGGAGTCCCGCTCCGGCCGCACCCGCACTCACCGCAGATGAAGCATGTGGTCTTGAGGATCTCCTCCTTCTTCTGCTTCTCGCTCCTCAGGTCGGCGAAGGTGTCGATGATCACCCCAAAGATGAGGTTCAGCACGATGATGATGACCATGAAGAAGAACAGGAGGTCGTAGATGACTCTGGCGGCGAACAGGGGCTCCTGGGGGAGGCGGCCCGGTCAGCTGCCCCGCCCTGGTCCGCCGGAGGGACTCGCACACCCACGCAGACACCCCGTTCTGACTCCCGGGGAGCCCCCCGAGCCCCCACACCACCCATCGGCCTTTCCTAGTAAAACCCGAACAGGGTGTCGCTCGTTAAAGGCCCCGCCACCCACTGCGCCTCACTCCTGCGTTTCAACTGAGCCCTCCGAGTGCCGTGGGACCCGTGGGGCCAGGGCCTGCCTGGGAGCTCGGGGTCGTGGGCGCGCGTCCGGGTGGGCAGACCCAGCCCGAGGAACTGGTCACTCGCATGTGACTGGGGGACCAGTCCCCCCGGGCGGCTCCTGTCGGCGCCCCAGCCCGCCCACCGCCCAGTGTCCTCCCCGGGACGCAGCCACCTCTTTGGACGGCTTCCTGAGCACGTCGCCCACGCCGCCCCCGCTCCGCAGCCCGTGGCTCAGCACGGTGACGATGCACATCAGCAGGGTCTCGCACGTGTGCTCCTGGTCCTGCTCCGTCTCCTCGGCGGCGGGGAGCAGCTCTGCGGGCACAGACGGGAGGAATAGAGTGAAGCCCCCGCGGCGCAGACCCCTTCCGAGAAGCTGAGGTCATCTGGTCAGCTCTGCGTGCGTCACGACCCCCGCTCGTTTCTCCAGCGCGTCAGAACTGCCCACCCACCGTCACGTCTGAAACGCCCCCTCTTTCACGTTTCAGACTCCAGGCCCAGCTCTTGGCAGGCGTTTGACCCGAGAAGCCGCAAATACTGAGCGGCAGCCTCTTCCCTCAGCTGAGGGTAAGGCCACGGGACCCGGGCTCCTCACCGCGGGTGCCGAAGGGGCGAAACCCAGCAGGTCCTCCGGCTGAACCGCTTCATGCTGGAGGCCGCCCGTTCTCACTGGTTTGGGAGGAAGGCCCAGGCCCGGCTGCCTCTGCTCTTCTCCAGCTACAGTGAGGACGTCTTGCTAATCTCATCACATCCCTCCCTTCAACAATGTCCAGTCATCCTTCCGATGAAATTTAACCTCCTTAGTCTGACATGTAAGACCCTTCGTGATCTGGCCCTTTGTCAGCCTCTCCGGCTTCATTTCTTGCTGTTCTCCTTCCTCGTAGCTGGTATCTCCCTAAACCTGCCGGAGTCGACCCCCCAGCCTTCAGAGAGGCTGGTCCCTCCGACCGAACACCTGCCCCTCCGCCTCCGCCTGAGATTCTCCCCTCCTTGGTGATACGCGTACTGCACTGCCAGGCTGGGCGCCTACCTTCCGTATCCCATCCTCACGCTCAGCGTTTAGCAGCCCTCAGGGGATCCCAGGCTGCCCGCCTGCCTCCCCCACTACGTCGCTGTATCTTAGCGTACAACCCGGTCCCTGGCAGACGGCGGGCGCTCAGGAGGTACTGGCTAATTCAACGAAGCTGGTCTGTCTTCCCGTGGAGCCTCCTGTCTCCCTCTGCTCCCCTAGCCTGTCCCCTCTGCCACTGGCCTTGCTTCTGGTTTCACCTGATGCCCACATGACGGGCACCACCTACGCCCGTGGAGGGGCCCGGCACCCACGGGGGGCCTCAGGCAGTGAGGTCCTACCTTCCTCGGGTTCAGGAGAGGAGCAGTTCTCTCCGGTGCCCACCCTGCACACGCCCGAGTACAGCAACTCGCTGGCCAAGCTCTCGCCGGCTTCTGGGAGAGAGAAGGACATTCTGTGACACACAGTCTCACGGCAGGTGGCTCCCCGGCTCCCGCACACGCATCCACAGCGGGGGCGCAATTCACAGTCCCGCCGGGTGATCTGGGTGGGAGAGGAGCCAGAGACGCCAGCCACCTGGGAGGGCGGTGTCGTTGGGCAGCCGGTCCACCTCCAGGATGAAGTCGTCTTTGAAGAACAGGTAGCCCACGATGGAGAAGAGGTAGACCAGGATGAGCGCCAGCACCGCCGTCAGGATGATGGAGCGCCCGTTGCGGGTCACGCTCTTGATGACGTTGAGCAGGGTCTCCTCGCGGTACACCAAGTCGAAGAGCTTCACACACAGGAAAGGGAGGCGATGGGACGGCGTTAGACGCCCCTGCGCTAGATGCGCACCGAAGCCCAGAGCGAGCACCTGCCTCACGGGGAGCTCGCGCTTCTGGAAGCTCAGGGGCGTCCC